TATGTGTGTAACACTTCATCTTTTAATCACTTGCTCGTAACAAAATGAATAAAAAAAAAAGGATTATTTGTAAAAGAAAATACTAAATAATGTGATACACAATTGATGAAATATGATCAGTATTTGATTGTGGAAATGTGAATTACACAATTACTGTAATGTTATGGGCTATCAAAACTTAATATGTACTGGAAGCTCATTAGATCAGATCTCACAGAGGTGGCTGCTTCTCCCAACATGACATCCCTGGCAATAAGGTAAAATAAGGGTAGATGATAGTGAGAAGCGAGAAGTAATCAAAATAAGAAAAGGTTATTGTGGGAGGGAGGGGATAATGGAATACAGTTAGGATAAAGAACTAATTGAGGGTGGATAATAGTGGTAAGAGAAAAGATGTTGAATTAACATGAGGATAAGTAGTTATGTAAGTGAGGATGGATGTGAAAAGAAAGGGTAATTTAGTAAAATGAGGGTAGATAATAGAGGGAAGGAAGGGAATAATAAGCTAAAATGAGAATGGGTAAAAATGGAGAGAAAACAGGGGTAGATCCAGGGAGTAGAAGAACTATAAAAAAAGAAAACAAGAGGCAAAAAAAGAAAATAAGTGAAGCAGAGGGAAGCATGGTACTCCAAAATAAGCTAATTTCAAATTTATCTTCCACCTATAAGCATCTATGGTCAATCTTTTTCAATGGGCCAAGTCCCTTTACAGTGTGCTCCAAAACCTAGAGTGTATAAGACCCTATGCCTACCACAAGGCTTCAAGGGGACAAGCCCCACACTTATAAAATGCCTACTGCAAAACTTCAAGGGACTAATACCCTATATCTCTAAAATGACTACCACAAAGATTCCAGTGGATGAGCCTCTAGACCTCAGAAATGACTACCAGAAGGCTTCAACAAGGGACTATTCCCCTACACCTATGAATTGCCTATACTTCAAGGGGCAAAGCTCCAAGACATCTGAAATGCCTACCACATAACTTGACCGTTCTTCTTACTTTTGTCCCCCGGCCAAGTGCTGCTTACATTTGTCACAATATATAGAGATGAAGATGAAGAAAAAAATAAGGTACAATACTTGCTACTGTGAATTCAGTAGCAGTTGTTCATACCAGACTCGCAACTCACCGTCATTTGAATACTATAGGATCTAGATTTTGGTTGTGTATTTCAAAAATCATTTTGAAATATAAAACAATTACTCAATTTAGTTCAGTTTACTGTACGGAAGTAACTTTGTGTAGAATAACCTGTTTATTGTTTATCTTTAAGTTTCCTCATTCACATCTGGATTCTCAGAATATTTCTCACGGTTTCAAAACAGGTGTATTGTTAATTTATGTATTCGCTTCTTCCTGCTGAAATTATTCTAATAAGTGCAGGTTTGTTTTAGTTGATAGAAAGATAATAGCAAGCAATCTGTACTTGGTTTTTTCCACAGCAACAAAGCTGTGGTTGTATCAATTTTTTTCTTCATTAATTTGTGAATTAGGATCGGTGGGAGGATTTATCTGTGGCATGACAGGTGTTATGTCAGTTTCTACCCCGCATTGAGTTTGCTTGTCAACGGTATCTTCATGCAGTGCTTTTATAATGGGCAAAGTGAGGTTGTATGATTGTCAGGAATTGCAGTTATGATTCTCCTATCAAGGATTTCTTCAATCCTTGAAAGTACAACATAAGAAGACTTGAAAAGCTACAAGATTGTTGTGTAATTTAAATTGAATGATAAATAATTACATCCAAAAAAATTGAAAACTTGTAAAATAAATTATGTTAGTTTAAAAGTGTCATTCTGTTTTCAAAAGTAGATTGAAGAATAATAAATAAAATGGGGAAAAAGAAAATTGCATTTAAAGTTTGAGAGTGTCATTTGCAACCATCTGAAGATGCCAGACAGTTGTACCTCAGTTCCATCCATTATGGCACAGATATCACTTTCATTTTTAATTAGGATTTTTTTCATACAAATATGCCAGTTTGTATGCAATACTAACATTGGTTTACAATAAGCATAGTATGGTGTACACACCTCCAGATTACTTACAGTACCTTTTGTTTAAACATTCTGTGCATTATTTGTTGCACATGATATCAAGGGGTCATATATTGGGCAAAATTCAAGTGGAGGTCAAATAATGTTCATGTGGGAATGCACTTATTTTGAAAAAAAAAAAGAAAACAACCATGTTTTATAATATGATACCGAGATGCAAGTGTAGGGCATTACACAAAAACAAAATCGATAGTGTTTGTTTTTAACACATTTAAATATCATGGTTTCCAGGAGGAATATTTTGAACAGTTTATACCTTAGGGGAGGGAGCAGAAGATAGAAAACTGGAAGACAGGAGTGGATTTAGAGTTTTATAAATTTGGGGGAGGGGGTGGGGAACCAATTTTATATAAGCCTAGATGTAATATAATTATACAGTACAGATAAATAAATATCCTGTAACGATATGATTTGTGTTCAGTAGTATGCTGTTTTTTTGTAATTATCAATTGTATTTTTCCATTAAAATGATGGCAGTTGCAAAAGACCCCTCCCTAAATTTGTCACTAGAAGGGGAAGGAGAGGCAATTTACTACCCTATATACCTCTACACCTGCTTTATTGTAAAACTAAAGTAGTATACAGGTGCTACTAGTTTAATGTTTTTTGTTTTCCTTGTTGCGGATGATCCCATAGGCAAAGGGTGTATTACCAGAACGGAAATTACAGTGTGAATGTACATAAGGCGATTGTTAAGGAGAGGAAGAAACAAGAAAAACTTGGTCAAGAGTCCCAATTCTGTAATATGAGAAAATTGGTCATTTTATGTTTTTGTCCCCTTTTTTGGAAGATATAATCAATTGAATTTTAGTGGAAATTACAGTGTCATGTCATGTTGCAGTCATTCTGTATATTACAGTTGCATCTTTTTTATTTTATCTAAATTCTATTGTTTCCTGATGAGATTCAATATTTATTCTCTATACTTGGGCATTAACTTATGGTGATCAGGCTTAGTACTAAATAATTCTGCTAATATTTTCTTTCAAGCAATCACCAAACACATTTCCAACCAATCTTATGCCAATTGCTTTTCACCAAATTGTCATGGTCATGATAGTTACGTCTTATTACAAAGGTCTATTAATTTTTCCCAATATTCCAAATGTTTAATTTAAATTTAATGAATGTAGGAACCTGGAGAACACTAGTATCACAGTATTCTAACATTTTTTTTTCTTTTTTCTTAAAGAAATATTCTATCCCTTTATTTATTCTAACTGTTTATATACTTATAATAACAATTGTCGACTTATATAGCGCATATTGTAGGGACCTCTATGCGCTTACATTATTACCCCGGATCACTGGATCAAGCACATATGGAACACACACTCAGGCCCCATGGGGGAATTCCATAATGTTGCAGCTGTATTCAGCGCAGGCTGTGCTTGAACCTATTAGGTACCCACTTGTACTCCTGGGTGGAGAGAGACAACCGTAGATAAAGTGCCTTGCCCAAGGACACAAGCGACTTGCACAGCAATAGTTTCGAACCTCTGACCTCAAGGTTGGGAGTCCAAGCCACAACCGATGCACCAACCACTTCTACGTAAATCGTATATCATATTTTCACAAATTCTCTAAAATATGTTCTACACATGCCTTTATACAAGATATTGTGTTTATGCCAAATAGATTTTTTTTTCTTTTTAAAAATAATCACATTAAATTTTTAATTTTCACTTTGATTCCAAGTAATGTAACAAAACTACATTGAAGATTCATTTAATAATTGTCAAGCTGTGCACACTCATTCAGGGGCGGATCCAGTAGGGGGAACGGGTGACTGTGCTTCCCCCCACCCCCTGTTTTGCCGCTAAATTTAAAAATTTCAAGGCATATTAAAGTTAGTGCCCTCACTTATCTATTCTGAATATGTTGTGCCCCCCGTTTGAAAAATTCTGGATCTGCCCCGTCATTATGAAATTGGTTTTCCTGTTTATTAATATAGAACAATTTCAGACTAAGTTTTTTTCAAAATTGTGTTCAATTGAGTACTAAAAAATAATTAATATAAATAGTATAAATATGCTACGTTGTATTGTTTTTAGGCGATAGGTTTTTCATGCATTCAATGTAATTTCAACAATGTATGATGGTCTTGCCAAGGAAGGTACAGTAATTCCTTTATGCTGAATGAATAAAGAGTTACCATTAGGCCAAAAAAAAAAAAAAATGTTGTGTTGCCCTCCGCAACCGACCAAAATTTTAAAGAAAATCGAGAAATACCACTTCCGAAATTAACGTTAAGAACATAAGATCTTAAACAGACATGTATTTTCACCAAAATCAGGCCATAGATGCACACGTAAAATCGGTAAATTAGAGGGCATAATTTTGAGAACCAAGCGTGACGACGGCGATGTATGCAAGCAACATCGGATCTCTCGCACTTAGATCTAGAGAGGCCTAGGCATTGCCTATTCTTTACTAACTGTGTAACTAGTTGTTGCTTGAATCAAAAATCATATACATTACCTTACGCTGTATTAAGTAATAAATGAAAAAAAAGGCTTAGGTCTAGCCATTGCTTTAAAGCTGGTACGGAGCCAGATATTTTAGGCTCCGTTACGGTTTTAAGCCAACCATAAACGAAATATTTCTTTTTTTTTTCTCGAAGTTATCTTCGATTGTATTACATAGAGGGTGCTTGTTTGGCCATTTTTCATAGCCATAGTATGGTTTTGCTCGATCTGTACGTGCGTGATCGTGTGCATCGGATGCACAAATTATTTTTTTTAATAAATATTTCTTTAAACATGTTTTTGTTAAATTTATTGCAATATACTGGTAGTATTTATTCTGTCATTATTTTGAATATTGTTTGTTTGGCAAGCTTGCCATCGTTCTATTGTGGTGCCTACAAATCCTTATGCCTAGGATCTTCATTATATATATATATATACACATCTAGATGTGTATAAGAGACAGTGCAGGTAGAACACATGGAGTTGTTTGAGAGGTTGAAATCTTTTATTGTGCAAGGAACTTGTATGGAACGCACACCTGGTAAGTGCTATGCAAACACATACTCGTAATAGAACAAGCATAGTAAATTTTTAATGTAAAGTAATGAAATGCTGTATTTATGGTGAAGATTGTGGCCTTGGGTTCACAATTTAATTTTTTCTACAAAATAAGCCAGTAGATGCATACAACACATCTTTACTTCAGAAAGCTATGATGCATTTATCTGTCCCAGCTCTATCTATACTAATACTGCATGTTGTTAAAGTACTCATAGTATGATTATAGTATAATTGTCATGTACTGTTGTTTAAGCAGCTCTCTCTTTTTTATCCTATGTCAGATCTATGCTACATAACACTATCTAACTATTGAGTTTTAAGTAATACTTTAAACTCTGTTCTAGTTTTGAATTTAGTTGATCTTTCATAACTAATAATGTGTGATTATAATAATTAAGAGTTCAACTAATTAGTCAGCAGAGATCCATTATTAGATGAGGCTAATGATGAAGAGAAAGTGAAAGTACATTTGCATTTGAAAAGAAATACAATTAGAAGTAGATGTGATTGGTCAATTTATTTTAACCATCAATTTACTTGTGCAAACCTCCATACTTAAAATCTTATTTATGCAAACAAAGTTGAGAATCATTAAAAATAATTGAAAGTGTTGGTGCAATTTGTGCGGTTATTGACCATAATGCATTATCACATGCACTGTACATGTGCTACAAAAACAGTTTTATATGGTGAATGGCCTTGTCATAATTGCTTCTTGTTAACTTCAATTGATGTAATAAACTCATTAGATAGTTAAGTAGGAAGGTACAACTTGGGTTTACAGTAGTTTCACTAATTTCTTTTGGGCTCAACAATTTTACCATATGGTGAGGAAGCTAATTAATGTTTAAATCCTGGTTCTTAATAGGTGACATGCAGACCAGATTTGGCCTATGGGGCCATTTAAGTTGGCACGTGCCAAAAGCATTTTTATTTAAAATTAAAAATTAAGAAATAAATAATTTTATGAACTGTTTCCTTCATTCATATAGAGACAAGTTCGTCTCTTATTCATTCAGCCCTCAGGCCCATGGAATTACAAACATACAATGCTGTTTATACTACAGACAACAACAGATTTTTTCTTCTACATAACGTTTGAGTACTTATGCACTATATTTGGTCAATTTGTTTAGAGGGTTTCTGTAACTAAACATTTAAAGCCAGGCTCCGAAGGCAAAAAACATTTTTTATATGTTGTACAACTGATTTTTCTAAGACACATAAAGTTTATTTGACGAAAAACTGTAAATGAGATACAGATTTTTGAATATCTAAAAACTTGGGGGGGGGGGGAAGGGGTGTGTACCACCATTTTTCCCACTTGTTGGGTTGCTGAAAAATTGCTTCCTCTGGAGCCTGACTTTAACATCAGGCTTTGCATGTGTAGATTTCCCATTAATACCAGATGATTTTTTACGATTTCAGTAGCTAATGTTTGCCGATACGTATTTTTTTACAATGTAGGTATAAGATAGCTCCTAGAATGGAGGTGATATAATATATTTATTATAATACCTCCATGGTCCTAGCTAGGTTGCAACATTCCCATATTTCTAGGCCTTAAGTTAAATTAACCAAATGAGTACCACCAGTGTGGTGTGATTTAGTTTACTTTAGACATTGTACTATCTATTTTTTTATTAAGAAAAATATAACTAAAAAATGAAAAGAACTTTTCTTAGTCCATTATGATATATTATCTTAAAATCATTATTGTTAATTAAATATATTTCTTGAGTAATACTTGTTAAGTAAAATTAATCTGACCTCAGTGGTATGAAAAACAAAGATTTTGTGTTGTGCTTGTAAAACCAGTGTTATGGTAGCTGGTCTACCATTAGGCCTGCAGGGTCTATTGACTTGCACAATTTTATAACAGCTCAGTTCAGTTTTATTTATTTGCACTACATTTAAAATGCATAATATATATGAATTTAACACAAAAGCACAAACACCTGAGCTAATTCAAAAATATACAAAAAGAATACAAACAGTAAAATACAAAAAATATAAATGTGTAACAGATTACAGGTAACTAACAGGTAGGGCCTACATACTGTAGATATTTAATGATATTATTGCACTGATATACCTTATGTTCGGAGTAATAAAAAACAAGTCAGTTGTGATGCAGGCATAATATGAAATATTATTTATGTAGACACGACCTTGATATATTATTGAATTAAACCATTAAAATTGTGGAACCTGATGGATTGTTGATATTCTTTAAAAAAAAAACAACACTACAATAAATAACAAAACAACATTTTCAGTTGGAGTAGAGATAGGTGTAAATCATGCTGCAAGACGACATACACTACAAAATACTGTATATCAGAGATGTACCACATTTAATCCTGCTGAGATGGTCAGTTCTATGACCATTTTTATCTAAGTAACAATTGGCAAAATGATGATTCATGAAAAGGAGGGAAATTCTGAGGGATTGCAACAACTGAATTATTGATAATACCAATAGTAAATAATTATGCAAGGTGATCAGTTCTAGGTGTAAATTAGCTGACAAAGTAATTTCTGACATAAGGCATCTACGGTATGAAAATTAATTAATCTTCCTAATTAGTCATGTTTGCTGAAATGAGTTAAAGCACAAGATCAAATATTACTTGCGCTTAGTTGAGTATGGTTACCAGGGAGATAAACTGTTGCCACAGAGATGGCGATGTTGTAAATGTCCCAACAGGCACTCTAATAGGCATTGTTTGATTTCAGTGTTTAATGAGTACCACGTTCTCCATCTGTCTCAGTCTTGGACTTATTATAATCAACATTCTCAACTAGGCACTTGTCAAAGAAGTATTGGCAGTGTTATACATTGTGTTACAAAATTGTTTTCTTCCTTTTTTTCATCCCTCATTTTTGTTTGCTTGTTTCATTCTTATTAGGTATTTTAGCAAATTGTACACAGCTTTGAAGGATTTACAGGTGGTCATATGCCCTTTATCAACTCATCTGATTGGCTGAAAAAGTATTAATTACAGTATCAGTAAATATTCTATATTTCAAATAGATTAATCAGTGCAAAATAAGTTAATATTATGGTATTTATGGTTGGTCATCTTTGATAAATAAGTTTAATAAGGAATTGTGCATAGCAATTGAAAATTAATGATGAACTATATTGTACTTTAGAAACATTTACTACAGTATTGATTACTTGTGTTTATTGATTATCAGTAATTATCAGTTATTGATTATTAATTTTTTATTATCGGTTATTATCACATGAACCTAATCATTACTTATGAGTAATTATTGACGTAATTATTGCTTTCAAAAATTAAATCATTTATTAATACATAAAACTTAGTATTATTAATTAATATAATAAATTAATATGTGTATTATACTATATTAAGTAAGATTATTGACATTTATATATTTTTACATTTCTCTTGTGTGTGTATTTTTAGGCTTATTAAATTATTCATATTTGCTTACCTCTATGTGCTATATCAATTAATTAAAAGTGAAAAATTCATTTTTAGTCCCTTTTATTCTGTGTCAACCAATTTTTTTTTTTTTAGATTAGCATTTTTTTCTTATAATTTTAATAAAAAATGAGACTCCAATATATAAGTGGTTTCAATAGTTATTTTTTTCTCTGGTAATTTTTATAGGTCAAAATCAAGTGACCCCTGAATTAGTTCCAGATGCAGCAGGACCTCTTTATGCAACAGGCACAAATGATTCTTGGTTAGAGGAGGATTGTATATGGAATAGCGAGCAACCAAGGCGTGTTCCGAGAAGAGTACATGACTGGGTTATGGATGAATGTAATGATTCATCAGGATGCCAGGATGAGCGTAGAGAAATGACAAGCTGGAATGATAAGCCAACTAAAGCAACTGGCTACCGCTTCCAAGAACCAAAACAAATTGCGCAACATTCATTTCAATCAAGAAATAACTCCAGTTATCAGAATAGACAACATATTTCGTCACGAAATGACTCCATGTGGGGATCAAGTTTTGGCATGTGGAGATCATCTGACAGTGCAAGTAGTAGGGAAAACCGTCATTCATTTACGAGGCATGGCCATCAGAATCGTCCAAGGGATCAAAGGATTGATTCTGGCACGGCTGTATGGGGTAATCCTGACACCGATACATGGCACCGCACTACTGCGTCTGATTGGCAGAATTCAGCAAATAGAACTCCTTCATCTTGGGGATCAGCTGATTCTTCACAAGACTGGAGATCATCCTCCAGTAGTTCAAATAATTGGCAAAGGAATTGGGGTAGAGGGGGTGAAAGTGGGCGAAAGCCAGTCGGCAAGGGGAAAAAACAAGGCAGATAAAATCAACATGTTTATATATACCATCATTAGGGCCATGTATAATCTAATCTAATCTAGTAGCCTACCAATGCACATAAAGGCATTGGTCTATCAATCAACATGACCTACAGTAATTATTTTTCAACTAATATCCTTCAGTAAAGAATAAAGTTTTAAAGATAATGTTTTTCCCAAACAAGTTTTGGAAGACGCTCAGCTTGGAAAGCTTACCTATGCCTTTAGGGTTTGGTGCTTCGCTATTATTATTACCTTTGTTTTGTATTTTGTTTGTTCTCTACCATGATGTTTGCTTGTACCTGCATGTCATGTGTTGAGGTAATTATTGTTATGTGCTGGTACATTTACATTTATTAAGGAAAACAGGTAATTATTTGCATTAATTTTTCAGCTGCCCCTTTACACTGCCAGAAATCGAAAAACATAATCAAAGACAACTACCATATATATAGTTATGTTTGTCTCAGATATAGTATAGAAAATATACTAAATATCAAGAGTAGTAATGGTTAAAAACATTTTTTTTTGCAATTTCAAGGCAAACTGCATTTATATGGTCATTGTATTATTAACATTTATTTAAATTTCCGGTATTTGTTGAAATATCTGTAAAATAGTCTTCATTTTTAAATCATTTTAATTATTATTACTAGTTAAGCATTTCTATTTAGATATATTTTAGTTTCGATATCAGCCCATTTAGAATAATTACAAACTGAAGTAGACAACATTTTTATTTTTCCGATGTATTATCTTTTTACATCATTATTAAAAAGATAAAATTTGTCTGCTGAAAAATAGCGCAATACATCGTATAAATTAATTTTGAAATTAACTTGCTCATTTTGATTTAACATTGAAATTAACACATTACTTGAGTGTATAAATTTGTGTATTAAAACAATTTTTAACCAAAAATGATAAAAGTGTTTGTTATATTTTTATCATTACCCAGTATAAAAATCAGGGTGAACTTTTTTTTAATTTGCTAATTTATACAGTACTCAAGTTGATAATTTGTATTTTACTTCAAAATTATTTTTTATGATTTTTTGGGTCATTTTCAGTGGACAATATCTTTGATGTAGGAGTTAATAAATAGGAAATGATTATAACAGTAGTAAGAGTATTATAGAAATTCAAGAAAATGGATAATTACTACTGAGGCTTTTGGCTGCTGTTGCTCTCATCCACAGCTTCCCTTCTTTTTTGATGATGTCCTCACTGCTGCTTCTGTTGCCATAACCATCATTATCATCATCATTACAGTCATCACATTATCTTGATGTTCCAAAGGAAAGTAAAACAAGATGATTTTTAAGCCCATAATTCTAATGAAATACTGGATAATGAACAGCCATTTCACATATTCCTGTGTGACATTAATGTGTTTACTATGAATCTGTAGGTCTACTCTACATATTGAATATACAAATGTTTTCATATCTCCAAAAAGACATATAATTACAAATAAATGTATATAAATACATGATTAATTAATCACCATGTAGTTGTTATCTATGCATAAGATGAATGAATCACATTACTATAATTTTCTAATGCACATTAATGCGGAAGCTTTTCCATTATGTCTAGAAATTCTTTTTTTTTAAAGAAGTTATTGACATGGTACATTTATTTGTTATATATTTTTACTAATTGTATATTTTTTGCTAAATATCTTTCTGCCAAATCCAGTTTTTAGTCATTAAAGAAATATGTTCTGAAGTTTATTTAAAAAATAAAACAAAGTAATAACCAAAATGAATTATCAACTATATTATCAAAATGTCCAAGTGAAGTTAAATAGCTTGGTGGTTAAGATGCTTGCCTTCCAATCCCAGGGTCCTGGGTTCAATTCAGTGTTGCATGATTTTTCTCACGACCAAAACAACTCCACTCCTTAAATCTCATATTGAGATTTAGTTTGTGTAGAGCATCGTGTGTATATGTTTGTCTTGTGTAAGGGATTGTCACCTACAAGTAGGACAGTGATATATTGCTAAATAAATAATAAAAATAAAAAATAAAAATAAAAATAAAGTGGTTTTCATTACCTGAATAAACTAAAGGGAAAACTCTCAGAAAATGACTAGTTAATAGAAGTGGAAACAAAAGATGTTTGAAAACTCATTATAATTGGTTTAGTGTCCTTATTCAGGATTTGCAAGCAAGCTTACATTTATCCGTATTATGATAATCTTCTTAGTGGGATTATTAGAAACCAATAACTAGCTTATGTCTACCCATTAAGCTCCTTGTACCTAAAAGGTAGCAGCAAACAAACAAGGACCATTACTATACAAAAATGAGAGCCTGTTTTGTTGGCAACATTGCAATTATATTAATAAGGTTTTCAACATATCAGCTGTTGCCCAGTATTTTTTTTTTATTAAAAACTAATTTGGCAAGATTGTGGCTTTATATAAAGTATCATTTCATTTTTTTTCTCATTATCTTTATAAAATAAATGACAGCAGCACTTTTGAGACTAACAATATAGAATTTACTCTCGAGCTTTCGTCCACACAGTGGACTCATCTGGAGACAGATTATCTTTGTAATTATATTATTTATTCCTCAACTAAATATACTTTAAATTTTTTATCACTATAATTGATAGTAAATGTTGTCAGCATTTGCAGCAAACAAACAAGAACCATTACTATACAAAAATGAGAGCCTGTTTTGTTGGCAACATTGCAATTATATTAATAAGGTTTTCAACATATCAGCTGTTGCCCAGTATTTTTTTTTTATTAAAAACTAATTTGGCAAGATTGTGGCTTTATATAAAGTATCATTTCATTTTTTTTCTCATTATCTTTATAAAATAAATGACAGCAGCACTTTTGAGACTAACAATATAGAATTTACTCTCGAGCTTTCGTCCACACAGTGGACTCATCTGGAGACAGATTATCTTTGTAATTATATTATTTATTCCTCAACTAAATATACTTTAAATTTTTTATCACTATAATTGATAGTAAATGTTGTCAGCATTTTGTAGAAAATCTTTTAAAACACAATACAACAGAATTAAAAAACAATAAACAAGCTAAATAATGTAAATAATTTTCAAATCTACTTCGGCCATATTTTTAAGTATGTTTAAATATCAGTTTATTTTGTCATAATATTGAGAATACAATTACATATTTCAAGTGTTTAAAAATATTGTACTGTATTCTGAGAGATATGCGGGAAGAGTTTGTAAGTACAGTTGTATGCCCTTACACAATGAGTGTACAGTATATATGCTGTATGTCCAATTTTTAAAATGGTTATTTCAGGTGGATCCAGGGGTTTGTGGCAGCAGAGGGCGCTAAGCACCATTGAAGAACATATTCTTCAAGTGTGGAAGGTTGGGGCGTTCTATTGCTTATTTTGTGGATGTAAGGTTTTAGGTAACTGTATTTAATATGTTACTCTGTCTATATTTTTATTATTTCTTCAATCCTGTAATTGGCAAATTTTATTGCTCTTACATTTTGAGCAAATAATATAAAATAAAATTACTTAATCTCAAATGTGATCAATTTCACTCTTTGGTATTGCTGCGGTTGCCGAGGGTTGCGGTCCCCTTTCATCATCATGGATTCGCCAATTTTTAGCGCCACATTGTAAGTTGTAATTAGTAAATTGTAGTTAGTGAATTCAATTGTTTACTAATCTTCAAGAGTCTTTTGAATAAGTGAATTACAATTTTAGGATTCTGTAAAATAATGTAATTCAATAAGAAATTTCGTAATTTAATGAATGTTGAGTCTAGTTTATAGGGCATCAAATATACTGTATGTAAACGAAATAAAACATTGCATTTTCTACTAACGATTCATATTGTTATTATATTGTTTATCTGGTTAAACCTCTTCTATTAAAAATGCATTTCTTGATATTCCTTTGAGTGTAAAATTTTGGCAACCTCTAGGACATTTATTAACTCATACTCAGTTGCATGTAACTTGATTACAGTGCACTTGCTGTAAGCAAAGATCTTATAACATGATAGTGCACACTTTGATTTTTGCCTGAAAATTCTGTAAGAACATAGTGTAGGCTTACTCATTCAGTAGGTTGCCCACTTGCAAAAACAAGTACTTTTAAACTTTGAGACAAATATCTTCAAAACTAAAGATAGCACACGCTTTGATATCTATGTGGGTGCATGCGCTCATTTTCTAGGATGCCGTCTTTTAAAACAAGTATTTTGAGCAAAGATTTGAAAAAGCTTTTGGTGCTTCTATTTGTTACTAGTAAAACTGTGAATGCACTATCTTGTTAATATAAGATCTTTGCTATAACTTGCACTTCAATATAAACGGAATATATAAAAATGATGGAACTACAAATCAATCTCTAATAAATTACCATTGTTAAAATGTTTTTTGTTAGATGATTATAACAAAATTAAATTTAACACAATATTGTGAGTTGGTTGGTGCCATTAAAACAGAATAGCAGCTAAATAAGGGAAGTAAAAATATATACAAGTATGCTGTGATTTTTTTCTTGGTTGAATTTATGTTGTATTGTTTATTCGTTTAAGCTAAAACATAGATAGCACTTTATAAAGAGTATAAAATATATTAATATTTGATGGAAACAGAAAACTCGCCAATCTGATTTGATTGAATTAAATGAAAGGTTGTGTTTAATTTGATAATAGAAAGCATGGCAAGATATAGAATAAATTCAAAGAATTCGAACAAGTAGTGTTGGTTATATGTATGTTTAATGTAGAACAACTTTATGTAGACATTTTTTATTTTATGTCTACTGTATATAATGTCAACATATACGTTTCTATTTGAATTTGGAATCGAGATGGTTCCTAAAGACGTTGACAAGTCAAAGACATAAGTGTGCTGCAGCCATTGCATCAGGTTATAAACCTTTAGCATCTTGACCTTGTATTAAAACAAATTTACAAAAAAAGCACAAGTCACCTCATTTTATTGCAAATATGACAAGAAAGATAAAAGGAAGGGGATAGTCAGTATTTGGTGTGCAGTTTGGGGTCAACTTATCAGGGTTAAGCACTACATCTCTTTTGTTATTGTGTGTGAAACTGTTTCAAAAGAACTAAGCATATGCTAGTATGTTCCCATTCAGAATAATAACTGCAAGTGTTGGGAAAAAAAAAATAAGTGGTGTCACACGTACGCAGACAATGGTGATTTCATGCGTGGGAGGAGCGTTAACTC